CTAACCTGGCTCGTCTGAATAAATTTGTTTTTCCCAACAGATACGAGACTAATACCAGATCAACACTATTTCCACGCTGATTCTGTTACAAATCACCACTACATATTCTTGCCGGCCACCGTATCAAAACAATTTATAGAGATGTTGCACACTTACTTCCGTCTGCTGCTTGCTTAGTAGTGGATGAAGAGTCAAACAAATACCGGCAAAACTTGCGGCTACTTGGGTAGCCGCACCGGGCGCCGGTGCGTCTTACCCGAGCAATCCCCGTTTTCTCAATATTTGTTTGACTCTTCATCCACTACTGAACGAACATAAATTTCTATTTGAACATTTGCGGGTACTGTTTATAACACAACGAAAGCATGGAAAACAACAGCTTTGCGAAGAGGTTCAGAACATTTTAAACGCGCCCACTTGAGAAAAAGTGAAACAGCGGTTACTGAAACTGCCTAGGCCTTCTGAAGGAGGCAAACCAATTGCACCACCAAGGAGGGGGCAAGCACTTCTTGAAGAGTTTGACCCATATCTGCCTCATGGAAATCAAACAATAACTAACTACCAGACTGAGCTCCTTAGGCTGTATGACGCGTTTGAGGGCGAGAAAGATGGGCGGCGTTTCATGAGATGAATTTTTGCTAGGATATTGGGGCAAAACCTTACACCTTTTGTTATAGGTAAATTGAGAGAAAAGGTAGAAACAGCCTTTATCTAAGATATTTCTAATCATACGTAATCGTGAACAACGAAGACGGAAGGAGTATGGTTTTCTATAGACAGAAAAGAGGTTCTCCCTGGATAAACAGCCTTGCTGTGGCAGAAGCTGGTTGAATCAACAAAAGACTGAACGGGCAACTCTTGACAACATCGAGATCGAGGCCCAACACGAAGTGGACTTTTGTAAGGTTCTTCATCGTTGAAATAAAAGTAGTGCTTGACAGACAGCCGCTGTTAGGCACGGGGCCGTTGCCAGACTGGCTGCACAACCATGCACACGGGTGCAAAATGGTTTGGCTGGATACTTTTGATGATGGCGCTGCATTGCTGTTCCTTAGGGGGCGCGCCCAGATCGGAGCACGCAGACTGCGAGAGAGCTTGCAAAAAGTTACTTTAAACTCAGAACAACGCCAAACAGCATTCCAAGAATTTCGTTTGATGAATTGGATAAGGTCGAGAGGCATCTCAATCAGGGGAAACAGCTATCAGATTGGCTTGGCGTCAGAGTCTATGAGCCTAAGCGCAAGGAAAACGGTGTAATTCTATGGCACCTCAGGAAGAATCCCTCTGACAAACTGAAGAACATATTGACAATCGAAATTTATGATGATCATGCTTTTCTTATCGAAGATATCGGGAAGCTTGGAAAAGTTTATGCATGCGCCGATTGCCAAGCGCGTTTCACCAAAGTCTGTAATCTCCAAAGACACGCTGAATCCTGTGCACAAGAGCAAAAATTTATAGATTGCCCAAACAACCGGGTCCAAGCCACGCAGACAGCTTATGAGAAGGTTTTTTACGGCAAAGTTCGAGCTTCGGCATCATCAATCCGCTGGCTAAAGCGCACAAATAAGCGGTTGGGAAAGCATATCCATCATGCTTTATGCGACCACGGCGGTGAGCGGGGGATAGTTGGAGCACCGGTGGATGGCTATGACCTGACATCGAGGACTGTGTTCCAATATCACGGCTGGCACTGGCATGGTTGTATCCGGTGTTTTCCAAATGCCCGAGACACAATTATCAGCCACGGCCAAACTCGAGAAAAACTATTTCTTGCAACAGCGGAAAGCACAAGAGCTCTCTGCTTAGTTGGCTACCGCGTCATCGAGAAATGGGAGTGCCAAGACAAAAAAACCCAAGACGCTCTGCCACAACAGGAAACGCGAACTTACCAGCACGCCATCTTCTATGATTCTGAATCGTACCACGACAAAACACAGAAAAACGAGGTCACAGCATCGCTCACGCATGAAAACGCCCATGTTCCGATTTCAATGAGCATTGGCGACACGCTTGAACGCGGGCCCACGCATATCTGCGACCCCAACCCAAAAGACCTGATCCGGAAGTTCATGGAAGAGTTGGGGAGGCGCGGGAAAAACATTCGGTCCTTGGTCAGAGCGAAGTTCATGCCAGAAGATATTGGCTTGTTTCCGGGGAAGCAACGGAGAGTAATTGCGGAATGGTGCGACTAGGTGCCTGTTATCGGTTTCACAAAACGGCCAAAGTCCAAGTGGGGAAAGGGCGAACACGACGATGTTTATGCACCAGCTACGAAAAGTGGGTGAAAGCGTACAGCTGTTCTGTCCAGAAATCGTGGCCTCCTTATGAGTGGTTTGATACCGCGGAAAAGCTGAATTATCCCAGGCTGCCAGATTCCCCGGCATGGTATTCACGTTTGAAAGGTGAATATGTCCTCAGTCTCAGAATTTCAAGAGAGCAAGAAAATCTACGAAGGAAAGAGGATGCAAACGTTCGCGGACTGGCTGCCTTACTACAACAATCTCGATGTTGTACCGGGGCTAGAAGCTTTGGAAAAGACGAGAGCCTTCTACACTGATAATTGCATCGACATCTTGAAAGACGCGGTTAGCCTCCCAGGGGTGAGCCTGCAGTACCTCTTGCGAGGCATAATAGAGCGACGCGCTGAACTTTACAGCCCTTGCGAAGAGGCTTATGGAATGTTGAAGGAAGCGGTTGTAGGCGGTCAAATGCTGGTGTTCAAACGGTATCACGAAGCTGGTGTGACAAAGTTAAGACCACACCGGTTCGCAAAACCGAGAGTTTGTAAGCGAATCATCGGCTACGATGCTCATGCGCTCTATTTGTCAACCATGTTGAGAGACATGCCTTGCGGGAAGGAAAGGGTCATACACTATCGAAATCTGGCAGGCGCGGCGTCCACGCTCACCGAACATCTGAAAGCCGGAACGTGGTTTGGATTTGCAGATGTGGACACAGAGATCCCTGAGCCGCTGTGGATGAAGTTTGAAGAAATGCCGCAGTTCTTCTTCACCAAACAGATTCCAGACGAAGCTGTACCCCAACACATGAAGGATTACTTACAGCACACTGGAAGAAAAAGAGGTGACGAGAAAAAGCTGGTGGGGGCGTTGTCAGCGCAAAATCCGTTGTTGTGTGCGCCGCTATTGCGTTGGTATGTGGAACATGGCGCAGTCATCAAAGCCGTTCATCGCACGATCGACTATCAGGGGACGAAGATCTTCACTTGGTTCGTGGAGCAGGTGACAGAGGCCCGGCGCACCGGAGATGTGGACAAGAGCAAAGCTCTGCTTGCTGAGGTGTTCAAACTGCTGGGAAACAGTGGTTATGGGAAACTGATTGAGGCGCTGGAGCGGCAAACGTGCGTGGTCTACATAAAGGATGACAAGGTAGTGGACAGAGCGCTGCTAATCGCGTACTTCAACGA